ACAAAACACAAAAATTAGCCAGGTGTGGTAGTACATGCCTGTAGTCCCAGCTACTCGGGAGGCTGCGGTGGGAGGATCACTTGAGCCTGGGAGGTCAAAGCTTTCAACAGACTGGGACTGTGCCACTGCACTCCACCCTGGGGGACAGAGTGAGACCCTGTCTCAAAAAAATAAAAAAATTAAAAATTAAAAAGGTGATTACTGATGTTGCTGAATTAACATCTACCACATCTGTTACCATTTTCTACTTTTTGCCCTTGTTCTTCATTCCTATTTCTGTTTTTCATGCTTTTTCTACCTTTTGTCGGTTTACCTGAGCATTCTGTTACATGTAATTCCGTCTTGTATCCTTTTTTAGCGTATCAACTATACTTCTTTTTTAACTTTTTAAATTGGTTTGCAATCTGCATTTAGAGCTAATCCAAGTCCACTTTCAAGTAACAATCTCTTGGAGGCCCTGTCCCATCTACTACTGAGTCCATCGAAGGCACTCTTCCTTTCTGTTACGGTGTTTTTGCTCTCTAGCATTTAAAAAATTCTTTAAATTTTCTTTTATTTTCTTTTTTGTTTTTTAAGAAAGACGATCTTGCTATGCTGCCGAGCCTGGCCTTGAACTCCTGGGCTCAAGTAATCCTGCTACACTATGAGTTGCAAATACAGGTATGTGCCACCACATCCAGCTTCTTAAAATTTTAACCTCTCTGCTTACATTATCAATCTGTTTTTGTATACTGTCTACTTTTTCCATTAAAGCCCTTAGCATGTTAATCATAGTTTTAAAAAAATTCCTGGTCTGATTACTCCAACACTCCTGCCACGACTGACTCTGGTTCTAATGCTTGTTCAGTCTCTTCAGACTATATTTTCTGCCTTTTAGTATGCTTTGTAATTTTCTGTTGACAAGTAGACATGATACAGTGGGTAAAAGGCACTGCAGTAAATAGGGCTTTCACCACGTTTTCAGGTGTTGGGGTGGGAAAGTGTTCTATGACACTATGAGTGTTCTATGACACTATGAGTAGGGCTCAGTCTTGCCGAGCTTGTGTCCCTGGACTATGAACTTCCCACGTGTTTTTCAGTTTTCCCCACCCACCATCAGGTGGGACAGAATATCTAGAAGTAGCCAGTGTTAGGTATTTCCTTTCCCCCAGATAGGTTAAGTTCTGATAAAAACACCAGCAGGTTAGGCCCTGGTAAAATTGTTTCTCCTGAGGGCAGGTCTTGTTAAGAACAGAATGGTATATTCCAAAGTAGTTCCTTTTCACTTCCTCCTGCCAGAAGCACAAGGAGATTTTTCTCTGATATTCACTGTCAGTACCTAATAGAGCCCCTGGAGGTAAAACTCACAAAAGCATGGGGTCCTCCCATGACTGGGTCTCCCTGGAGTTTTTTTTTCAGAGTTGTCCACACTGAGCCTCTAGCAATTTGCCAATTACATTTTAGGCTTACCCATCTGGCTACTGGTTCCCTGGGAGATTATTGCTCACAAGTTGTGGTTGTGATTCTTTGTATCTGCCTGTTTATCTCTCCAATTTTTTTTTTTTTAGACAGAGTCTCGCTCTGTCACTTAGGCTGGAGTGCAGTGGTACAATCTCGGCTCACTGCAACCTTCACTTCCTGAGTTTCAGCGATTCTCCTGCCTTGGCCTCCCGAGTAGCTAGGATTACAGGCACCCACCACCACGTCCAGCTAATTTTGTGTTTTTAATAGAGACGGGGTTTCACCATGTTGGCCAGGTTGGTCTTGAACTCATGTCCTCAATTGATCCACCTGCCTCAGCCTCCCAAAGTGCTGGGATTACAGGTGTGAGCCACTGCGCCCGGCCATACCTCTCCAATTTTGAGAGCAGTGACTTGTCCTCTGACCTCACACCTCTCTGATAGAGCTAAGATTTGTTGATTTTTCAGTTTGTTCAGCTTTTTACTTGTTAGGACACAGTGATGAATTCTAAGCTCCTTACATGCCAGAACAGCTAAAATACTATTTTTTTGGCCTTTTTCCTTTTAATTTTTTATAAACTATATAACTGTTTAAAACCGAAATTATAACATTGTCTTTCTGAGTTTAAAATGTATGTAGATGTATTACGCATAACAACTATAACGAAAAGAATGGGAGGGATAGTTACAAGATTTCTGGATTTATGTGAAGTAGTACATAAATGAACTGTAAGTAAACTGTGGAAACTTATGTATACTGTAAACCTTACGAAAATCACTGTAAAAAAAATGCAAAAATATTATGTAAAAAGCAAATAATAAAATTTAAATGGAGTTCTAAAAAGTATTCAAATAACCCAAATAAAGGCAGGAAAAAGGAATTTAAAAAACAGAAGAGGTAAGTGTAAATAAAAAATATTTTTTTTTTTTTTTTTTTTTTTTTTTGAGACGGAGTCTTGCTCTGTAGCCCGGGCTGGACTGCAGTGGCCGGATCTCAGCTCACTGCAAGCTCCGCCTCCCGGGTTTACGCCATTCTCCTGCCTCAGCCTCCGGAGTAGCTGGGACTACAGGCGCCCGCCACCTCGCCCGGCTAGTTTTTTGTATTTTTAGTAGAGACGGGGTTTCACCGTGTTAGCCAGGATGGTCTCGATCTCCTGACCTCGTGATCCGCCCGTCTCGGCCTCCCAAAGTGCTGGGATTACAGGCTTGAGCCACCGCGCCCGGCCAATAAAAAATATTATGCACGAGTGCATTCCTGAACCGTATCAACAATTACATTAAACATTAACAGACTACACACTACAATTAAAAGACAAAGATTGTTAGGATGAAGCAACAAGACCCAATTGTATGACATCTGCAAGAGATTCACTCTAAGTGTAAAGACACAGGTTGAAATTAAAAGGATGAAAAAAGATATACTATGCTAACAGTAAGTACAAGAAGGAAGAAGTTGCTACGTTAATATTAGATAAAATATATTTCAAAACAAAATGTATTACCAGAGACAAACAGGAATTCTCTTATCTCTCATAATGATAGTCATAAGTGCAATGAGCTTTATAATATAGCTTCAAGATACATGAAGCCAACACTACAAAAATTAAAGGGAAGAAAAGACAATTCCACAATCATACTTCTGTATTTTAACACCCCCCTCTCAGCAACTGAAAGAATAACTAGACAAAAAAAAAAAAAAATCAGCAAGGATACGGAAGACACAAACAATACCATCAACCGCCTTGACTTAACTGATATTTATCTAACCCCAAAATGTCAGAATACACATTCTTTTTCAGTGCACATGGTATTTGTACCAGGAGAAACCACATTTGGGGTCATAAAGCAGGAAGCAACAAATATGAAAGGAATGAAATAATACAGAGCATGTTCTCTGACCACAATGGAATTAAATGACAATAACAATAAGATAACTAGAAAAACACCAACTATTTGGAAATTAATGCATGTCCAAATAATCACTGGGTCAAAGAAGAAATCACAAGAAAAACTAGATAATGTTTTGAACTATAATGTTAATGAAAATGCAACACATTAAAATTTTGTGAGATGCACCTAAAGCTGCACTTTGAGAAAACGATATAACTTTACAATAGACTTAGCTCTTACATGTAGAAACCAAAGGCTTTATTCAACTAATTTTGAATGTGCACAAATATGGGGTGTATTTTTCATGAGCCTTTCTGAACAAACTAGAAGACAAGCTCCAGCCGACCAAGAGACGGGGAAATTTTTGGTAAAAGGACCAGAGGTAAACAATTATTAATAACATACTTAACTGCAGATAAAAGACAGTAACAGAGCTGCGGATATGAGTGGTAAAGTGTTATATGTTCTGAATTGTTTCTACAATATATATATTATAGAAACAATATAACCAACAAAAACTGGGAAAAGGAATGAGGAGGAAAAGGGAGAAAAGTAGAACAAGCTTGTTGACTGTCTCAGTAACTGGGAGTCAAAGATAATACTTAGAGCTGACATATCAAGTAGTAGATGTATACTCAATACAACAAAGGTAAACATTAAAAAAAGAATACTACTGGTCAGGTGCAGTGGCTCACGCCTGTAATCTCAGCACTCTTGGAGGTCGACATGGATCATTTGATCTTAGGAGTTTAAGACTAGCTTGGGCAACATGGTGAAACCCTGTCTCTACAAAAATTAAAAAAAAAAAACTAGCCAGGTATGGTGACATGTGCCTGTAGTCCTAGCTACTTGGAAAGCTGAGGTGGGAGGATTGCCTGAGCCTGGTAGGTGGAGGTTGCAGTGAGCCAAGATTGTACCACAGCACTCCAGCTTGGGTAATTAAGGGTAAGACTCTTTCTCAAAAACAAAAAAAGACTACTACTGACTGGTTGGGTATGGTGGCTCATGCCTGTAATCCCAACACTTTGGGAGGCCAAGGCAGGCGGATCACGAGGTCAAGAGATCCAGACCATCCTGGCCAACATGGTGAAACCCCATCTCTACTAAATATACAAAATTTAGCTGGGCGTGGTCGCGGGTGCCTGTAGTCCCAGCTACTCGGGAAGCTGAGGCAGGAGAATCCCTTGAACCAGCGAGGGGGAGCTTGCAGTGAGCCGAGATCGTGCCACTGCACTCCAGCCTGGTGACAGAGTGAGACTCTGTCTCCAAAAAAAAAAAAAAAGAAAGACTACTACTGACTATAATTGGCAAATGAAGGAGAGAATGGGGGTGAAGAATAAAAAGGACATGGTAGGGAACCAATATCTATTGTCAAAAGGAAATAAGTATATTATATAAAGAAGAGAACGAAGTTGTTATCAAGGTAATCACCAAAACAAAAATACGATCAGAAAAAATATATGTATTTTTTAAAGCAAAGAAACAGACCAGCAAGATAAAACTTCTAAAGCATGTGCACATGCTCACATTTGTCCAGGGGGCTGTATCTGTGAGACTGCCCCTGGAGGAGGCCATTAACATGAACACCATGCCCCAGCTGTCCCACACTTGGAGCCTCTTAAGGCAGGATTGGGAGGCTGTTCCCAGGATTAGCATCCCATCAATTCTCACCTTTCTGGCAGCTTTTCAAGATCTCTGGTTCCTCAGCTCCCAGAAGATTCAGGACCCAAAGTTCCTTCCCCTGCTCCAGCTGGGAGATTAACTCCGGCTTAGGGACAGGGAATCCTGTCGAGGATGAGGACACTGGTGAGTTGGCATGGCCTGGGGAGCTGGGGCAGGACACTGCCCACTGGGTCTTCCAGGCCAGGTGGGGAGAGATGTGCCCTGTGTGCACATGTGTACACCTGCATGTATGTTGGTCAGGGGAGCCTGTGGGCTGAGACTAAGTACTGAAGGAGAATCCACTCATTAGCTCTCCTGCCACTGGAGGGACACCAGTGGGGCCACTGGCAACAGGGAGCGAAGTCCCTAGAACTGAGCAGCAAGGCAGGCTTTTCCCATGGGAAATGTTCCTTCTGTAGAGATCAGACTGATAACTTGGGACAAGGGGCAGGACCCTCTTCTTTGGGATCCAAAGAGCCAAAGCAGCCTCCCAAGCTCCTTAGAGGTCCCCAGTGCGAACCGGGCCAAGTGCAGAGAGCCTCACCCAGAGAGGCCACGTTCCCATAGTTCTCCAACATCACGTCTCTGTAGAGCGCCCGCTGCTGGGGGCCCAGCTGCTGCCCCTCCGCCTGAGAGAAGTACACGGCCACATCCTGGAAGGTCAGCGGCATCTCCTGCAACAACACATCGCCGCTGCCCGGGCCATGCCCACTGGGCAGCAGCCTGCACTAAAAGGAAGCCCCACTACCCAGAGCCCTGCAGTGGTCAGTATGAACTGTGTATCAGCAGGTCCCTGATGGGGCAGCTGAGAGCGCTGAGGACCAGCCAACTTCAGCCACACGGGGACCCAGCTGAGCTCGGAGCCCCTCTCCCTGTGGGAGGGGGAGTCTACATCTCAGAACCCTTTCCTCACGGTTACTATGAGCCCCTGGTTGGCCTTACCAGTTGCCGGGCTCACGGCTCCAGAGGACAGCAGCTTCTGACTGGGATGGGGATGAAGATGAAAAGGTGGGCAGGAAGGAGGGTTAACTCACCTGGTGCCGTGGAAGCTGGACTGTGGCTGACATTCTGTGCGCATGGGCTGCTGTGGTTTCCAAGAGAAGACAGGAGACTGCCCTGGCCTGAAGTCTGCCCAACTTACCTTCAGTGGGGAGAAGTCAGGCTCAGCCCCATTCAACCAGGGGTGTGGAAGGAGGGCCAGGAGGCAGAAGCTGACTGCTGGTGTGGCCTCCTGGGTCGTGGGAAGCAGGTCACTATGCAGCATAGGCCGACGTGCCCTACTGCTCAGAGACTCCTGAAATCCCAGAACGGCCGGAGCCAGAGCCCGGGGGGGATCCAGGGACTCCCGGCTAAGGGGTGAAAAGCTGGCAGTTCCCGTGGTCCAGACCTGCTGAAGGCCCTGGAAATGGGGTGCAGCTGTTCTACCTGCCTGGGCCAACCTGGGGCAAAGAGCCACGTGAGGGTGTCGCCTCACCAGGGTTGAGGACGTGAGAGGGAGGCCACGGAGGTGCTGCCGAAGGCCCCAGGCTCCGGGGAGAGGCCGGAAGCCAGCTGTGGTCCTCAGCCCGGCCTCCTAGGGCCGCGCCGCGGTCGCCTCCTCCCGGCCTCTGCAGCCAGTCGGTGGCTACCGCGGCACCCAGAACAGGCCCCTCCTGGACTGGCCGCCGCCTCCCCGCGCCCTCCCCGCCTGCCCCTCCGCTTGGCGTTCCTTCCTGGTCCAACACTGCCCCACCTGTTCGCTTGGCCGGGGGCAGCCACCGAGGAAGCGCCGAGGAGCTGCGCAGCCGCACCGAACCCGGAGTGGACCCGCCCACAGCACCCGGTCCAGAGCCGGGGAGGGGGCGGGCCCCGGAGGACGAGGGCGGGTCCCGGAGGACGAGGGCGGGCCCGAGAGGAAGAGGGCGGGCCGGGCCGAGCTGCGCACCGCAGACTTCCCCGCCCCCTGCGGGGCCTCAGTGCGCCTCGGAGAGCGCCGGGAACCGGAAACCAGCCGCGGTCCCGCCCGGATTCTTCCCGGGCCGCTCTGGGATGACGGGAGGCCCGCGCCGTCTATGGTCGGCGGGCGAGAGCACGCGGCAGCTGAGCGGAGGGTCTCCGGCTGTGACGCTGCTCGTCCGGGCCGCGCCCGCCTCGCGCCAACCCTAAACCCCCTCCCGAACCCTAACCCCGCTGAGCTCCCGGTTCCTCCGTCGGTCACCACACATCATGTGTCCCGATTCACCATAACCACCAGAGAGTCGCTTATGAAGATGTCACAATTATTGGGACTCAGAACACAACGCCCCAAAATGAAGGCCTGGGAGGCAGTTTCCCTCCGACCTTCCCAGCCCTCCAGTCTCAGTTCTGTTCTCCCGCGAGGCTCTTCATCGGGTGAACCCCTTTTCCCCAAGGCGGGTCACAGAGACCAGAACCCCCAAGCCAGTCATACAACCTAAAAACATGACTCGGCCGGGCGCGGTGGCTCAAGCCTGTAATCCCAGCACTTTGGGAGGCCGAGACGGGCGGATCACGAGGTCAGGAGATTGAGACCATCCTGGCTAACACGGTGAAACCCCGTCTGTACTTAAAAAATACAAAAAACTAGCCGGGCGAGGTGGCGGGCGCCTGTAGTCCCAGCTATTCGGGAGACTGAGGCAGGAGAATGGCGTAAACCCGGGAGGCGGAGCTTGCAGTGAGCTGAGATCCGGCCACTGCACTCCAGCCTGGGCGACAGAGCGAGACTCCGTCTCAAAAAAAAAAAAAAAACATGACTCATGTTCTCCCGCCTTTTTGTGTGAAAACTGGCGGTAAAGGCCGGGGGTGGTGGCGCCTGTGATCCCAGCTACTCGGGAGGCTAAGGCAGGAGAATCGCTTGAACCCGGGAGGCGGAGGTTGCAGTGAGCCGAGATGGCGCCGTTGCACTCTAGCCTGGGTGACACCATCTCAAAAATAAATAAATAATAAATCCATGTATTTGCCTTTTCTCCAAAAATCTGCCTTTTATGAGTTGGTTTTCAGTGAACCTTCAGAGGGCAAAGAGGAACTTTCCCCTTGGCCCCTATACAATAAAGCATGGTTTAAAAAATACTTGATAAAGATGAGGAGGCCAGCTTAGAAACAGGGGGTAGAGGAATGAAAGGAAAGCCAAGGACTATCTTGTAGCCCAGAATATAGTGTAGGCCTTGTACACTCTGTTAGAATCAAGGCACAGATTTTATATCTGAACTTGAAGCAATCAACGAGGATGGAGAATGTCTAGAAGTCTAAAGAACCATGCAAAGTCTCACATGATTAAGAAGATGCCATACATTATTAATATCAGTGCTGGGAGATTGTGGAGAATTACACACTGCTCTGCTTGTGGGAGCGTGGTTAGTACAATGTTGAAAATGAATTAACCTGTACATAAAGAGCCTTAAACACTTCAATCTAGGATCTATCCTATGGAAATAACAAAAATTACAAAGACAAGGGTGCCCATCCCAGAGTGTTGTGTGTGTGGTTTTTTTAAATAATGGGGAGAATTTGGAAAATATCTACTTATTCATAGAAGGGGAAATGGAAGATAATTATGCTTTCTGCAGCACAGAAACAGATCTATTGTCTTCTGTACACTTCAATTGAACATTATGCAGCCACTGTGTGTGGTATTTGAAAAAAATTTATTGGCAAAGGGTAATGCTTATTCAATAGAATGTGAAAAATAGAATACAAAATTATATTTAGCATTATGATCTCGATTGTATATATGGGTGTTGAAGTTCACAAACTTAAGAAGTTTTCCAGATACAGGTGTGTCCAGAATTGGTGAGTTCTTGGTCTTCCCGAGTTCAATAATGAAGCCACAGACCCTCACAGTGAGTGTTACAGTTCTTAAAAGACAGTGTGACTGGAGTTTATTTCTTCTTCCCGGTGGGTTCATGGTCTCGCTGACTTCAGGAGTGAAGCCGCAGACCTTCGCAGTGTTACAGCTCATAAAGGCAATCTGGGCCCAGAGTGAGCAGCAGCAAGATTCACTGCAAAAATCAAAAGAATAAAGCTCCCACAGAGTGTAAGCAGACCTGAGCAAGTTGCCACGGCTGGTGCAGGCAGCCTGCTTTTCTTCCCTTATCTGGCCCCACCCACATCCTGCTGATTGGTCCATTTTACAGAGATTGGCGTGCTTTTACAGAGAGCTGATTGGTCCGTTTGACAGAGAGCTGATTGGTCCGTTTGACAGAGTGCTGATTGGTGCATTTACAATCCCCGAACTAGACACAGAGGGCTAGAGGGAAAAGTTCTCCAAGTCCCCACTAGGTTAGCTAGATACAGACTACGAATTGGTGTATTTACAAACCCTGAGCTAGACACAGAGTGCTGATTGGTGGATTTACAATCCCTTAGCTAGACATAAAGGTTCTCCAAGTCCCCACCAGACTCAGGAGCCCAGCTGGCCTCACCCAGTGCGTCCCTTACGCGGGCTGCAGGCGGAGCTGCCTGCCAGTCCCCAGCCGCGCCTGCACTCCTCAGCCCTTGGGCGGTGGATGGGACCGGGCGCCACGGAACAGAGGGCGGCGCCCGTCGGGGAGGCTTGGGCCGCACGGGAGTCCACCGCGGAGGGGGGGCTCGGACATGGCGGGCTACAGGGCCCGAGCCCCGCCCCCGGGGGGAGGCGGCTGAGGCTTGGCGAGAATTCGAGCACAGCGCCGGCGGGCCAGCACTGCTGGGGAACCCGGTGCACCCTCTGCAGCTGCTGGCCCGGGTGCTAAACCCCTCACTGCCGTGGGCCAGCGGCACCAGCCGGCCGCTCCGTGTGCGGGGCCCGCGGAGCCCGCGCCCGCGCCCGCGCCCGCGCCCGCACCCGCCTGAACTCGCACTGGCCCGCGAGCGCCACTGCGCAGCCCCAGTTCCCGCCCGCGCCTCTCCCTCCGCACCTCCCCGCAAGCAGAGGGAGGCGGCTGCGGCCTCAGCCAGCCCAGAGAGGGGCTCCCACGGTGCTGTGGCGGGCTGAAGGGCTCCTCAAGCGCCGCCAGAGTGGATGTGGAGGCGGAGGAGGCGCTGAGAGTGAGGGCTGCTAGCACATTGTCACCTCTCATAGGGACCTAGGTTGGTTGGTTTCACTGCTCAGCCACCAGCCTGGAACATAGTAGGCACTCTATAAATACTTGGGAAGTGCTTGAAAAACGTATATAAAAAGCTGCAAATAAATACATCATATTAATTGTAAGATTGCAGAATATTTGATTTCCTCTTTTTCTTTTTCAAATCTCCTACAGGGGGTGTGTAATCACTCTGTGACTGGTGGCTGCAGGCTTTCCTAACAGATATTTCCAATTTACAGGACTACCAACTGCCGAGCATCCAAGCAGTCCCTAAGCAGCAATCCAGCAGCTGACAAGGTTACCAGCGTCACTGCCACAGACGCTAAGCTGGTTTGCCATATTTACGTGGATTTGGTCAGCAATGAGCACGAAGGATATCGACTGTTTCTTTCTTTTCTTTCTTTTCTTTTCTTTTTTTTTTTTTTTTAGGCGGAGTTTCACGTTTCACTTTTGTTGTCCAGGCTGCAGTGCAATGGTGAGATCTTGGCTTACTGCAACCTCCACCTCCCAAGTACAAGTGATTCTCCTGTCTCAGCCTCCCAAGTAGCTTGGATTACAGGCATACATGACCACGTCCGGCTGATTTTTTTGTATTTAGTAGAGACGGGGTTTCACCCTGTTAGGCTGGTGGCAAACTCCTGACCTCAAGGGATCCACCCGCCTCCCAAAGTGCTGGGATTACAGGCGTGTGCCACTGTGCCCAGCCTAGACTGTTTATTTCTTACTCAAACAGCTACAGCATGATCAGCAACCTGTGTCCCTAGACACAGAAGATGACAGCAAACCATAGGGGCCAGATGACAGGAAGCACAGATGGTGGCCATGGTGCTGCTGAGGTGCCAGCTCCACACTGCAGCCAGGCAGTGGTGTGTCCACAGCTGTACCCCAAGGAGAGGCAAGGGGAGCATCCCAGATGCAGCCAACCAGGGTCGCTGGTGTCACTGTCGTTTCTTACAAGGTTGCTTGTCTCCCTTAGTTTCAGAAGGAGCCTCCAAGCATTCTGCCAAACTTAGCTCACACAGTGATGGACCTTGCCACACAGCTATGTGAAGATGTCCAAGGTCTTCGGGGCCCACGGCAGAGCTGTTCCCTACTCCACTGACCTCCCTGTTTCTAAAACCAGTGGGCTTTTTTTTTTCCCTTTGAGACAAGGTCTCTGTCACCCAGGCTGGAGTGCAGTGGCACAATCTCGGCTCACTGCAACCTTCACCTCTGTGGACTCAAGCAATCCTCCCACCTTAGCCTCATGAGTAGCTGGGATCACAGGCACGTGCCACCACATCTGGCATTTTGTATTTTTTTTTGGTAGAGACAGGGTCTTGCTCTGTTGCCCAGGCTAGTCTCAAACTCCTGACCTCAAGTGATCCATCCACTTTGGCCTCCCAAAGTGCTGGGATTACAGGTGTGAGCCACAGCGCCCAGCCACCAGTGGGCATTTTTTAGTTTTCCTTTACTTGACCTCACAGCAATATTTGACACCATGAACTGTTCGTTCTTCTTGGAACACTCGATTTCCTTATTATCGATAATACCACCCTTCCTTCATTTTCTGCCAACAACTCTCAATCTCCTTTGCTACTTTCTCCTCTACTCAGTGTCTGCCCTGGGCAATCTCCTTAGTTTATTCTACATTTTCCTCTAAGAGAGCTTACCTTGTCTCATTTCT